ACACAATTCATTTACATATACATTCCACCTACAATTTGATTGTGTTACTTATTTCCTTCTTCCCCTTATGATGAAATGTCTCTTCACATCGTTTCTCATCCTGTGTAAGTTTAAATTTATATACACACAACTTCATTGATCTGTTATGTTTAGTTTGCTTATAAAAATAAATTACAACTCAAAATAGTGTGAATTAAGTAGTAAGGTGAAGAAAGTAAAGAAAAAACACAACTGTAAGATCCATTTCATTCATGTTCGTTAGATCCCTAGGAGGAGTGGTGGTCGTGGGTGTGCACTCATGAAGAGTGATCAACTTATGATGGAGTTACCATCCACTCACTGCTTCCTGGAATTTTTTCGCAATGACCTCTTACTGGTTCATTTGGTTCATTTTTGAACCCTGGATTGTAATTATTTATTCGAAATCCCTACAAAAACGCATAATCTGTGAATAAAATTAACCCCAGAGACCAGTAGTCAACCTGTTCAATGCAGATATCTTCTGAATGTTTTATTTTGATTCCTTATCTTATAGAGGAAATTAAAATATGTGCCAGTAACTGATTCAGAACAGAAGGGAACTCATAGGAGCATTTGAAGTGAGGACATAGGTAAGACAGAACTACGTCGGACTGACACTAAGACTGTGTAAGAAGAATATGGACTTTGCGGACCATTATTGTCTAATTTCACATAAACTTGAAGTTCTATAAGCGAAAATAAATGAATTGGCAGAAGACGCAGTTGGTGAAGACAGAACTTCAAGTAAACACAGAAAAATATGGAGGTGGCTGGGATAAGTGCACATCAACAACAAGCGCCAGTTACCATAAACTGGAAATATTTGAATAAGGTCACAATATTAACTTACCTAGGAAGAAGAATCGTCTCAACTGCAAGTGGTACAGATGAAGATGTCAGAACCAGACAGGATTAGAAAAGCAAGACAAACCTTCGATAATATAAAATACTGAAGGCCAGATGGCCGGAAGAAGCATCAAAGATAGGACTTCAGGTGAACATAGAGAAAACAGAGGTAATGAAGATTCCTGGGAAACACCACCAACAGCAACAACAACAACAGACAACGATCAGCATAAATGGAAGGAACCTGAAAGAAACAACCTCCTTTACACACCTACCTGGGAAGCATCGTCTAAACTACAGACCGACGGAACTGACGAGGATATCAAAGCAAGAATCAAAAAAGCAAGACAAGCTTTCACTACTCTCAAGTCTGTGTGGAGGTCAACAGCACTCAGCATCAAAACGAAGATAAGATCCGGATTTTCAACTCCAATGTGAATTCAGTCAATGCTACTCACTATATGGATGAGAGACTTGCACTGCGCGTCATAAACAGCATCTCAAACAAACTACAGACCTTCATTAACAGTTGTCTTCGCTCAATACCACTCAAGATCAGATGGCCGGCCAGAAGAGATCAGCAACAGAGAGGGATCTCTGGCAATGAGCGAACCAACCCATCAGGAACCGATTGTGAAACAAATAGGCAGGAAGAAATGGAGATGGATTGGCTGGCCATACTCTGAGGAAACAATCCATCAAGTGACATCACTAGACAAGCCATTGCTCGAGTGGAACCCGACTGCGTTGGAAGCGGCGAGTTGGTCGTCAGTGCGAGGGTGGGCGACTTGGAGGAGGTCATGTGAAAAGGAGATGAAAATGTGGTGGCAGACTTGGAGCCAGGTGAAGACTGTAGCAGAGAACCGAACGCAATGGAGACGCACGGCTGAAGCCCTATGTTCCTCTAGGAATTAAAGGAAACAATAATAATAATAAATAGATGGCCATCTTGAAAGGATTAGCAAGAAGAAGCTCTGCAGTGCAACTGACCACTGACGAACTTATTGCCCAACAAGTATGTTTTTCCTTCACGTTCCCCTGCGGAACATAGGACTTCAAGCTAGTGGCTTGAAGTTTCTGTAGCAGTGTTTATTTTATAGGATGGGGTTGCTAGCCTCATGCCCAACCTTTTCTTCACCAGCATTGCTTCTGGCTTAGCGAGGTAAAGGAGTGCGTCGGCCGGGGACCGAACCCCGGACCATGTGCATGGTCAGCGAGAGTCCTAACCGCTGTACCATCGACGCACGCCCAACAAGTATGCCGAAAGAAATAGAGGTGGGTTGAAAACACACTGAGTAGACCGTTAAGTAACATCACACGCTTGGCCGTTGCTTGAGTGGGAATAATAAAGCCTTATTTCAGACAATATATGAGCACATAATATACAAATTTTTAGCGTATTTAGTTCCAAAATATTTCCATTTCATACAGGATTTACATATAAAGTAATAATCTGAAGTATACCACATAACGTAGCGTTGTTGCTTATGAACAGAGTCCAATTCTGTATATTTTTTCATTTCGTTCAAGAATTGCATAGCGACGCGAGTTCATTTAGCGTTCGTATGATTTGATTACACGATTAAAACAATATGGGAAATACAGAACAGTTTAAGTATTTTGATGGAGTGCAATTCGGGTGGCCCATGGATTTAAGCAGGCTGCCGTATAGCAAACGACAAGGTGGGAATGTGTCCGATGGTGACATAGAGAAGATCGTGTGAGGAAGAGATGAGAGCTTATGAATAGTGGTGGAGTCAGGCAAAAGCGACTTCAGAATACACGGTGAAATGGAGATGTACTGTAGAATCCCTATGTTCCACTCGGAACCCAAGGGAATAGTAATTGATATTTTTTCCACCTACGGTTTCATTTTATTTTCACTAGAACTATCATTATATTTCATCAGTGTAAAGAAGAATATGTGGCGTGAAGGGATGCGATTACAATCTGATTACAGAATTATCATACTTAAGGATTTGCTTATTCACAGCTCCCTTTGTTTTGTCTTAAGATTAGCTGAAAATAATTAATCTCTATTACAAAGCATTGCTTAAAAAAGTTTCGGTTCAGGAAAATAAATTGCTTTTAAGTTTTTGCTGCCATCTCATTTTATGTGGAGAATGAAATTTCAAAAAACTCAGCAATATAAAACGAGATAATAATGACTGCACTTTTAAGAGTATATTATGCATGTAACTCATAAATTATTTTGATGTAGTTGTGTTCTCTGAGCTAGCTGGATGGTTTATTTGCGAAGCTTTCATTGCCCTACTAGGCAACATCTTCAGCGCATACTTCAATTTGATGAAGTGAGAGTTTAGATTTCTCCACGAGTTTATTAGTCATCTCTCCTGATGGTAACTTTGAACGTGATTAGTTCTTTTCGTGTGTTTTCACACCCTCCAGGCTACTTGCATTGGAATCGCTGCTGATTGTTTCCTTGACCTGAAATTTGACCCTTTGTGTGTGAGACTTCTTGATGTTTCCTCTGTCGAATATTTGAACGTTGTTCCAGTTGAATTGATGTCCGTGGTTGTGTGTATGCAGTGAGGCGATATGAGAGAGCGAGTGTATGTCATGTCTTTTGACGGCTTTTTTGTATTCTTGGATAGGAAGACGAAGGGGATGTCGTCCACTTTGGCCAATGTGGTGTTTTTCTCAGTTGTTACAATTTATTTCGTAGTTGATTTTGATTTTTTCTTCTTTCGTTGTCGAGTCTTTTGTTTGACATACAGCTGGTTGAAGTGATGTCGTTGGTTTATGTGTGATGTTAATTCCTAAAGTTTTGAAGAGTCTTGCAGTGATTTCTGAGATGTCTTTTATATATGGTAGTGCAATTTCATTTGTGCTAAATGTGCAAATATGACAAGAAACAAACCATATGACTGGGTTGTGTAGTAGGAATCATTCTTGCTGTTGGGAAGGTGGATTACGTAACAAATCATATCGCATTATATATATGAAGTGCGGTCGGTCGGTTTTTGACATAGAACTTTGTATATATGCGCGGCAGTTCAAGTCGCCACACTCCATGTAGCACACAAAGCAAGAGAAGAAAGTAGGAGAAATGCATATCAGAGACAGTTAACAGAGGTGTGAGACAAAGGAATAGTAAAAACGAAGAACAAAACAGTTACATTGGAAACCATAAGTCACAAGGAGTGGATGCATCTGCGCCTTCACCGAGAACGATTTCGAGGCATGTCACCAATTGTTTCCAACCATTGGTTTTTACCGTCATCCCGAGGACCCCAACCAGTAAGTCAGTGTACACCTTCCTACGTGGCTGGCTCAGACTAACTGTTGTAGATTTCATTGACTGGTGCCATGTTTTCGTTTGACCGCCGCTAGCTCTTTTCCAGCCTGACCCTATATCAGTTAACATTGCCCGTCGAGGAAGGCGACGACTAGGCTTACGTAACACATGTCCCAACCATCTCAGTCGATGTAATTTCACAGTTTCGTCGACTGATTTCCCCGCCTTACCTAGCATTCGATCGATGCCTAACCTCAATATTGCTCACCTTATTATACGGGAGATAGAACGCAGACACCTATAATCAAAGAGAGCTAGCCAGCCTTTTCATGTCTTCCACTCTCAATGGTCAGGTCTCACAGCCATAAAGGAGGAAGGAGCGGACTGATGAGCAGTACACACGCCCTTTGGTCGATAGTCAGATATCGCGTCTACGCCAGAGACGGCGTAAACTGGCATATGCGAACCTAGCCCTCTGTATCCATGCTGAGATTTCGTCGGAGATCAACTCGTTGGGGGTGATGGTACTTCCCAAGTAAGTGAAGCGGTCAACGTGCTCTATCACTTCACTTCCTATTTCTAATTTAGGAATCGGTGTAGTCCAATCCTGCAACATCATCTTGCATTTGGCGGGAGCGAACCGCATGCCAAACATACGAAGACTGCTGCTCAGGGTGTTCAGCAGACTCTGCTCTATTTTGTCAGCGTCCTCGCCTAGGAGGGCTATATCGTCTGCATATTCTAAGTCGACGAGATTATTCCCTGGTAGCAAGTCAATCCTTGAGTCGCTGAAGTGTGTTAGGGTTAAGTCCATTAGTAGTGTGCAAAGCATAAAAGCACATCCACCGACATATACACGAAAGAAACGACTTACTTCATCAAGGCATCGAAATAGTAGAATTTCTTTCACTGCATTGCTTAGTCTTGCACGTTGACTGTCAGATTTTGGATATATTTGCCTTTCTTCATCATTATTATCATCACTGTCTTTTTCTGGATCAAAACTTTCTGCAGCAACTGGAATTTTTAAAAATAGAAACAAAAAAACAACAACAAAAATTAACTTAGGTCAGTCAGTCTTGTGAGATTTCAGAAGTGATCACGAAATTATAAATATAATAATCGTAATAATCAGTTTATTCCAAATAGAGATTTCAGCTGACAGAATGGAATCTTCAGCGTCCTACATTTTACAACAAATTTATTTCCTCTTAAGTTAGTATGTAAAATAATAAAAAATAATTAAACCTCAAAACCTTAAGGTTTACAGAAGAACAATATACGCTACAGTCATTATTCTGGTTTGAATTTAGTGTTTATTTACTGGTTAAAACGTATATAAGCTGTTTTTAGGCATCTGCCTGTTTACACGAAATCCATACTAAATATGGTATAGCCTTGCAAACATCAATTCCTATGATACAACAAGGATACAAGGAGATACAAGGAGAAAGTTTCGAAAAAAGATTCCCTTTTTCAGACAAAATGACTTTAGCTAAGTGCTTGCAAGAATTAAAATTCCCGTCGATAACAAGACACACAATAACCCTACTAACAGCATTAAGTGTTCTACGTAATATGAAATAGTTTGTTTTGAAAAGCCCAAGAAAGAATAAGGGGGAACATGGACAGAATAAATGAAATAATAAATTACACGTGGAGAAGTTGAATTCTAATTTAATTGGTGGATGGTGACAAGCAGTGGAATCCAGGACAACGTGCATTTCGTCCTATTTGGGACTCGTCATCTGGATGTACCTGCATTTCCCAGTGAGTGATGATGTTCCCACCGAGGCTCAAACCCAGTGCCCATAGTTTCAAACGCCAAAGCGTTATCCACTAGACCACTTGGGCCACGAGAGCATGTCAACCTGAGACCGAGCACTTCGGTCCAATCAATCGACGGGAAAATCTAAAATTCAATTAAAATGGAAGTTGAATTATGCCAAAAAGTGTCAACTTCCTTAATTAGTAAGTCAAACGAAATGAACAACATATAAGACAACTAAAAAAAACTTGAAAAGAAACTTATGATAGGAGATATTCGATTTACTCCCTGTCACAATGCTGTCAATATTACAAGAATTAAAAGACTGAATCAGTCAACGCAAGTCTTGTTCACGTCTGAAAGTAAAATCAGCAGTGTGACACTTAGATGGATTCATTTTTAAGAGCATTTGACCAAGACGTCAGTTATGAGGCTATTCATTTCACAACAATCTAATGTAGAGTGAATTCAGTTAACGCCATTGAATACCCACAAGAGCCAGTGGACGGTTGTGTTATTCCTAATTATTACCTTTCAGCAGTACGCACCTATGAATCTGTCAGATGTCGAATCGAGGAACTATAGGTTACAGGGCGAGCTCATTGGTCATTCAGCCCCTGGTACAGAATGCATTATTATTATTGTTGTTTCCCTTAATTCCTGGAGGAATATAGGGCTTCAGCCGTTCGGTTCTCTGCTAGAGTCTTCACCTCGCTCCAAGTCTGCCCACAGGTTTTCATCTCCTCTTCACATGACCTCCTCCAAGTCACCCACCCTCGCAATGACGACCAACTTGCCGCTTCCCTTTCATTCGGGTTCCACTCGAGGAATAGCTTATCTAGTGATGTCACTTGATGGTTTGTTTCCTCAGAGTATGACCAGCCAATCCATCTCCATTACTTCCTGCCTGCCTATTTGTTTCACAATCGGTTCCTGCTGAGTTGGTTCGCTCATTGCCAGAGATCCCTCTCTGTTGCTGATCTTTTCTGGCCGGCCATTTGATTTTGAGTGGTAATGAGCGAAGACAACTGTTAATGGAGGACTTTAGTTTGTTTGAGATGCTTTTTATGACGCGCCATTTTTAGTTTCTGCTAATTCGTAATATATAGCGCAACCAACAGCCAGTGAGTATTTGTCCTCACACCCAAGCTGGTGTGCCTAGAAGATCATGACTTCCCACTAGAACTCCATACAAATTCACCCTACAGTTAGTCACTGGTGAGCACTAGATTAATTTTCAGGTGTTAGTCATCGGCAAATTGACTGGTTTCAGGAGTGATGACGAACTGACTTCAGTTAAGGAGCTATTGAATACCAATGGCTGAGTGGACAACGAGCTCAGCTTTTAATCTGAAGGCCATGGATTCGACCCCTGGTTGTGAGGTCAGAGGTGCGCACATTTATGAAGAGTCCAAAACGACGAGGAGGAAACAGTTGTCCACCACTCCATGGTCGGTTCTCTAACTGAAGTCATCTCTTGGCAAAACCAACACCTGAAAGTCAGATCAGTTTAATTTCATTGTCGAAGCAGCAAAGAAAGGACTCCAGGTGAACATAGACAAGACGGAGGTTATGAAAATAACCAACCAACAAAAACAACAGCAGCAACATCCACCGCCAATCACCATCAAAGGGAGGGATTTGAAAGAGGTTACTTCATTCACTCATTTATCTAGGGAGCATTGTCTCAACCACAGGAGGAACGGACGAGGATGTCAAATCGAGAATCGGGAAGGCGAGAAACACATTCATCAACCTGAAACCAATCTGGAAATCTTCGTCACTCAATCCAGCATCAACAACAAAATTCGGATTTTTAATACAAACGTCAAGTCAGTCAGTTCTTCTATATGGATGGATCAGAAACTTGACGGCGGGTCACAAAGAATATTTCCAACAGCCTGTTTCAGACCTTTATCAACAACTAACTGTCTTCGCTGGCTCTATACTCAAGATGAGATGGCCGGAAAGAATCACCAACAAGAAACTATGGGAAGAAACAAAACAGGAACCAATCGCCCAACAAATATGCAGGAGAAAGTGGAGGTGGATTGGACACTCACTGGCTGAGAAGGCCACTCGCTGGGTGACATCTCGCATCAGACCATAGCTCGAGTGGAACCCGAAAGGGAAGCGGCGAGTGGGACGTCAGTGCAAGGGTGACATGGAGGAGATAGTGTGAAGAGGAGTTGAAACAGTATGAACTAACATGGACGCAGGCGAAAAGTACAGCAGAGGAGAGAAGCAAGTGGAGACGTGTAGTTGAAGCCCTATGTTCCACTAGGAACCCAAGGGAACAATAATAATAATTTTTCCGGTTCTTTTCGTTTTTTTCACACATGACTCTAAGAATATTTTATCACTGTTTAACATAAATAATATTAATAACTTTACAAAACCAGATTACTTAGTGATTTAAGCATCTCCAAAATATGTGTGAATTAAAGTGGGGAGGTAGCATTTCAACACCACCTTGTGTGTGTATGTGCGTGTGTATTTGAGCATGTGTGCGTGTTGAGCAGTCACTCTCATCATTCTATTGTTTCTTAACTAGTTGTTGTCATCTCGTGGAAGAAACCATGTTTCAGCTCGTAAAATATTTTGTTTTTCATATTACCAAATGTACATAAAACTTGAAGGAAAGCAAATTTATTCTCAATCACTTTTTTGTTGTCTACTGTGAATAAGAAAATCATCTCACCACCTGACTTGTGACTCTCAACAAGTCGTATAGGTGAATATTTCATCAGAAAATGGACAAGTGCATTTCGCTTTCCCAAAATGTACTCAATATACACAAGAGATCCTGACAGCGACAAAGACAACCCGACCTCTAGCACTGACTAGCCTAGTTATTATTATTATTGTTTCCTTGAGTTCCTAGTGGAACATAGGGCTTCAACTACACGTCTCCACTTGCTTCTCTCCTCTGCTGTACTTTTCGCCTGCGTCCATGTTAGTTCATACTGTTTCAACTCCTCTTCACACTATCTCCTCCATGTCACCCTTGCACTGACGTCCCACTCGCCGCTTCCCTTTCGGGTTCCACTCGAGCTATGGTCTGATGCGAGATGTCACCCAGCGAGTGGCCTTCTCAGCCAGTGAGTGTCCAATCCACCTCCACTTTCTCCTGCATATTTGTTGGGCGATTGGTTCCTGTTTTGTTTCTTCCCATAGTTTCTTGTTGGTGATTCTCTCCGGCCATCTCATCTTGAGTATAGAGCCAGCGAAGACAGTTAGTTGTTGATAAAGGTCTGAAACAGGCTGTTGGAAATATTCTTTGTGACCCGCCGTCAAGTTTCTGATCCATCCATATAGAAGAACTGACTGACTTGACGTTTGTATTAAAAATCCGAATTTTGTTGTTGATGCTGGATTGAGTGACGAAGATTTCCAGATTGGTTTCAGGTTGATGAATGTGTTTCTCGCCTTCCCGATTCTCGATTTGACATCCTCGTCCGTTCCTCCTGTGGTTGAGACAATGCTCCCTAGATAAATGAGTGAATGAAGTAACCTCTTTCATATCCCTCCCTTTGATGGTGATTGGCGGTGGATGTTGCTGCTGTTGTTTTTGTTGGTTGGTTATTTTCATAACCTCCGACTTGTCTATGTTCACCTGCAGTCCTGTCTTTGCTGCTTCGAAAACCAGAAATTACTTGACAGTTATTTCGTCCTAGTATGAGACTGTTATTCAGTAGTTCACACACCCTTCCACCAGGGTTCGGTCACAGGACCTTCCAGCTCAGAGACCTTTCAACTAATAGAACCCCACCTAATCCTCAGCCCATGAATTCCAATTTATGCCAATTCACAATATTTAGGACAACTACCATCCTGTTTAGTCGTTTGATTTGGTTAGTTTAATAAAGCTATCGACTGTATTAAATAGCGAAATGTCAGTAAAAGAAAACCATTGTACTGTTTCTCATTCATTGTTTGATAAAAGATAATGTTGCCCGGAAATCAAACACTTAATACTATCACAGAAAGTGGTATACTGAAGTGAACTTTCCATTGCTATTTTCTGTTTGAATTCTAACCATTCTCAGAAAAATATAACGTTCACTATGAATGACATCTGAGGGGGAAAGACTTAAAGTTGTACAGTATTTATTTGACAGTAATATTTGTGATTGGAAAAGACCCCTACTGTTTAACTACCAATCTCATATTAGTTTATTAATGATCAGTTTAGTGATATGAAATAGAAATCTAATGGACACGAAATATATCGTACAATAATTGCGTT